GTCTTTGTAAAGTTTTCCCATGTTCTTTAAACATAATTTTTTTCATTACACCATAACGTATCTTGGACACTCAGCAACATACTGAGATTTCAAGAAACATTATGGTGTAATTCCACTAAGCATTATGCTAATAATATAGAATTTGGTAAACCGTAAGACTTCAATGTATTTTCGGAAAATATTATGTGGAACAACCTGCATGTTAATAATGCACATGTTTTGTGTAAATGCATTCATTAGTTTTATAAAATTAAGAAAATTAAGTGACTAATAATGGGAGAGGAAGTTTGATGTGTGTGTGTGTGTGTGTGTGTGTGTGTGTGTGTGTGTGTGTGTGTGTGTGTGTGTGTGTGTAAGAAAGAGAGACAGACAAACACACATGTATCCACACTGCCTCTCCCAAAGAGAGGGTGAGACAATTTCACAAAGAATTCAAAAATCCAAAATCCAATTAACTCCAGGCAAAATGCACATTTAACCTACAAAAGATTTCATCTACATATATATATATATATATATATATATATATATATATATATATATATATATATATTTTATATATATATATATATATATATATATATATATATATATATATATATAGATAGATAGATAGATAGATAGATAGATTGCACATTTATATATATATATATATATATATATATATATATATATATATATATATATATATATATATACAACAACAGACATAAAAACAACATTGTGGTGACTGGGAGTTTCACAAATTAAAACTATATATATATATATATATATATATATATATATATATATATATATATATCAAATGTATTTCCATAACAAAAGTTGTGTTTCTTGAATATAACGCTTTTAATGCAACAGTATGTGTATTTAAAATGCTAAATATAAAAGATACAGCATTAATAGCAACAAATAAGTTTAAAGTCTGAGTAGGAGGAGACAAATTGGACATTTATTTGATCTACTTTTGGTTCTATATATATATATATATATATATATATATATATATATATATATATATATATATATACAGTAGCGTCCAAAACTAAGGGACAAAATTTTAAAATCTAATATTTGTTAGAAATAACAACTGTGAAAAGCTGAAATTTTGACAACTGGTAGTCGTTATCATCCATAATAACATACTAAAATTTGAATCATTTGCAAAATCCGATAGAAAAAAATTATAACTTTTATTTATTTATTTTCAAATTTGGAACGTCCAAAAGTAAGGGACAAAATTGAAAAAAACAATGTAAACGGCAAAAAAACAATAAAAATACATGTACAATCAATATTTAGTAAATGAGCCCTTGCTCTCAATGACAGCTACATCTTCGACTACAAGAACGAATCAGTTCTTGACAATCCTCGATACTAATTTTAGACCATTCTTCTTGAAGCTTCACCCACAAATCCTCCGTGTTGGTGGGATTTCTTTCCATAACTTTCACTCCTAAGGTCTTCCAAAGATTTTCTATTGGATTTAAGTCAGGACTTTGCGATGGCCAATCCATAATTTCCAAATCTTGCTCGCTAAGGTAACTCATTACCACCTTTGCCTTGTGACATGGGGCATTATCTTGCATAAAGGTAGCCCTATCGAAACCTGAATTCTGTATGATTGGCACAACATGATCTTGAACAATGTTTTTATAGATCTGCGCGTTTACACGATTTTGTAACCGGACAAGAGGCGTTGTACCTTGGCTAGAAAACATTCCAAATACCATGACGCTTCCGCCCCCCAAACTTGACAGTTTTCTTAGTACACTTTGCACTTAATCTTTCACCAATACGTCTCTTTACATTGTTTTTTCCATCATTTCCAAATAAATTAAACTTGCTTTCATCACTGAAAATACTTTTGCCCAATTTTCATATGTCCAAATTACATACCTGTTTGCAAACTCTAATCTCTTCTTCTTATTCTTCGAACTAACAAGTGGTTTCTTCCCTGGGGTTCGATTAAACCCCTATTTCTTGCAGTCGTCTACAGTCTGTCTTGACACATTAACACATGAGGTACTATTCATAACCCTTTTAATTTCTGTGCAAGACTTAAAACGGTCCTTTAATGACATACGCTGCATTATTCGATCTTCTCTTGCCGAAGTTTTGCGGGGTCTGCCGGTTTTAAAAGCCCTATTTTGCCAGTATCATTGTAGGATTTAGCAACCCTGCCTACAACACTCTTGGAACGTTTCACTTTCTCTGAAATCTCTCTAATGGTGTGCTTTTCCTTGTGTAGCTTCACAATAGCTTGTCTCACAGAGTAATCAAGTTTTTTGGCGTTTCGCCATGGTGCCCGGCTGATGCAACGTTTACAAATGACTAAGTAAGACTTATTCTTTAGAGGAAATCAAAAAATTTGAATATAGCATACTGTTTACATTGTTTTTCTCAATTTTGTCCCTTACTTTTGGACGATCCTATTTTGAAAATAAATAAATAATTGTTATAATTCTTTTCTATCCTTTTCCAAATGATTCAAATTTTA